CCCGGTAATATGCCTATTTCTCTCTCAATCTTATACCCAGATGTCGTTCCACACGGGACAACGGTAGGCTTCCGTTATCCCCAACAATGGCGCCACCTATCGAGCGCATCGGTCCGGCACCGCACAAGGCAACGCGGGACCCTCAACGGCTCGGTCTCCTCACGCTACTCTGATATTCCTGCGCTGTCGCCATTCGATTTCGATCCCTGAATTCCTCTGATGAAAGTCCGATGTCGTAACTACTAGTGTTAGGCCCAAGGTCGGGCCTAGTTCAACAGACGCTTAAATAAACGGATACTGCGCGGCGTGCAGACTTACCAAAACGTTTTCAAAATCACCCTGTTGTCGACGTCGCCCTCCGCACGTACGCATAAGTCACAGGCAAGCGCATCAATCAACGAGACACAATCTTTTTAACCCTAATTTAATCAAAAAAGTAATAATAAAAAAACATCTGGCCGGCGATCAACGCTGGTTTCCACAATCATCAAAAACGAAAGAGATCACGCGCGCCTTAAGCCTGTGCGTCCACACACTCTCTACTTTAGTCAACCATCTAGCCAACGTAAACTACAGACGCAACCGCGCCTTGCGCATAATACTTAAACTTTAAACCAAACCTATTTTCTGTCACTTGTAAAAACCAGGGCGGATACCCTTGTAAGGGTATTCACACCGACAGCGCATCCTCCAAAAGTGTTGTCATCCCCATCAGCACGACTGGGACCAGCTGCTCTCCGCTGTCGAGATCGCCTAAAACAACGTTTTTTGCCCCTCCACTCGCATGTCTCCTTTTTACCTAGACCTTGGCTACCATCCTCGCCTGCCCTCTGACTTCTTGCCGCCCTCGCAGCTCAACCTGTCTACTCCCTGTCCCTCTCTCAATGAATGGTTGCCACAATGAACCGCCTGCTAAGAGAAGCCACCGAATCTATTCAATGAACTCGGGAACAACAAGCCAAGCAATCGAACAAACATCGTCGTGACGCCACTTTCCATATTCGAAACAAAGTCTTGCTCTCTACCAAACGCTTTGATCCCGAACAAGGCTTGTCCAAGAAACTCTCGAACAAGTGGCTCGGTCCATTCCCCATCATTGAAAAAATATCCGCTGTAGATTACAAGCTCCAACTCCCTCCTGACATGAACTGTGCCCATCCTCTTCCATGTAGAATATTTGAAAGAATTCCATGAATCACCTCCTCAGTTCTCTGATCGCCCTCATCCTCGTCCAACGCCTATCATGCTTCCCACCTGTTCTGAATTCTCTGTGGAGTCAATCATCGGTCGTAGAACAACTCAGGTATCCAACCACCCCAAGCCTATCACAAGCTACAAACTAAAATGGATAGGATACCCTGATGAAGAATCAACATGGGAACTCAAATCTAAAGAACACTATGAAACTCGTCCGTGCCTATGATCGTACCCACCCTGTCTAATAGCTATCTACTTGCATATGCCGCAACCTGTACATACCTACTCTACACACACCACCCCTAAACCCAGCCTAACCCCTACCCTTGATCTTGATCTCTCGTTGTCTGATCCGCCCTTGCCTCAGCCTAGTCCTTCCCATCTATCCTCTACCACACTCTTTGTCTCTCTTGACCAATGGTTGTGGACCTGCGCGACGCCGACGATAAGGATATAATGACAAGCGCACAAGGACGATGGCCTGCTGCCTCATGATCATGACGATAATGCAGCTGGTTTGGCCACGATGCTGTTTCCTTGGCCGACATCTGAACTCGCGGACTTACTGGAGCAGTGACATATGATTTGGACCTTCACATCAGTCCGCGACTTCCTTGCTACCGGACCAGACCTCCTTGCAGTTCATGAACCGGACACATTCCAACACTTGGACTTTGGACACTTCTACTCCTACTTCGCTTTTCCACAGCTTGAACATTCGACAACTACCTGTTGCAGCCGCTGAAGACCGGTTCTCTCACCTATCCTGGATCTGATCAAGACCTCAAAAGACCTTCCTCAAGACATTTTTCGCATTTTGACACTTTGTTACAGACCTAAGACTTTGTTGTCCCCAGATTCCTCAGACACCCCAGCCCTTGAGCATTGAACAAACTATTTTTCTTTTTCTTTTTCTCAAACCCGACAACCTATAACCTTATAGAACATCAATAGGACTGCACTGTTACTTGTAGAACCTCAATAGGATCACCCTGATACTTGAACATTGCTACCCTCAACCTTGTAGAACTTCAATAGGAATACCCTGTTACCTAAACATTGCTACCCTCACCCTTGTAGAACCTCAATAGGATTACCCTGTTATCTAAAAACTGCTACCCTCACCTAGAACCTCAATAGGATTACCCTGTTACTCGAGCATTGATTCCCTCATTCCCGTAGAACATCAATAGTATTGCCCTGCTACCTGTTACTTCAACCTCGTAGCACCTCAACTACCCTGTTACTTGAACATTGATACCTTCACACTTGTACACCATCAGAAAGATTACCTTGTTACTTGCATTACTCCCCCTTTCCTTTTCTGACCAGTGATCGACCCCGTCCCGTCCTTCACGGTTGTTCATCAGGTCTTTGGCAGCTGGGATGTTGCCTTCCAGAGGAAGGGGATAGCGTTACGGATTCGACCAGGGCTCAATCCCTGGTCCGCGGGGTACCACCCGCCAGGCTGCTATTTCATTTTTGGGTCTTTGTTCTCAGGCCCCTGACTGTTGGCGCCCTCTGTAGTTGGCGCCCTTTGCAGTTGACGCCCGTTCTCAATTCCTCTTTTGGCACTTTTGGATTTCGATACTTGGCGCCATCCGGCATTCTGGCGCCCAGACTCAGCCCTGAGGCAATTCGCACTTTTGCCCTCGGGACTGAACTTGAGTACGGTACTTAAGACCGGACTCAAGCCTAGTACGGGCAACCAGTTTTCAGCCTCATTGCTTGCGTTCAGTGTGACTATGCTTCGACATTGTGTTCAGGAATCGAAGACTGCGACTTTGCGACTTTGCCACTTCGTGTCTTCGTTCGTCGAGTCGTGCCGAGTCTGCGTCGAGTGGAGTGAGCGTGTGTGTGTGCTCTCACTCTCCCTCCGTCTCCCAGCCTCGCTGCCCTGTCTCCGCCTTGCTACAGCCCACAGGAAGTCCTAGACATAGTCAGGAACCAGATAGATGGACCCTCCGACGTGATTAAGATCCCTGCTCACACACACACCCAGTTTTCCACGCTTCAAAGCTGGCACCTTTCGCAGAAACTGCAGAATTTCCTTCCGGGCGATCAATGCTGCTCCAAACCATGGACGGCGAAGTCGACATTGATGACATTGTGGAGCACGGAATCATGCCTGTCCCGAAACCTCTGGGTAGAGGACGACCTCCAAAGCCTCGGATGCAGTACCGGGCACGATTCAGACACCATATTGATCCACGTGAAGATCGGTGGTTTACCAGAGACAAACTGCAGCAAACAGCTCCCCAAGTGATTGCAGGATATGAAAGAAGACTCAAGATGAAAATGCCTGCAAGTTGAAGGACCTCTCAGAGGACTATCGAAGTAAAGGAGGACGGAATGTGAGGATTTCACTACTCGGCAGGCCTAAGGGGCCCATTCTGCAATGTGTGCCTGCCCTGGGTGAAAGCGGGCCTGATGAACTTATGAGAGGCCCATTGTTGTCAATTTCGCATTTGGGGGTTCAGACAGTTGCGTCGCATCACTTGGTTGAGGGAATCCAGGCCACGGTCAGCAGCATTTTGTTTCGGCCTTCTGGGCCTCTCTTGGAAGAATGGGGAAGCAGACCCTGGGCCGCTCACAAAGCAGGAAGCACAACAGGCCGTTAGGAGGCGTCACCGAACGGGGCCCATGGCAGTAACAGCATGGGGCAGAGGCCCAGCTGCACAGGGCTTACTGGAAGAGCCCAGCCAGGCAGCACACCACGCCAGACACTTTCCATATAGGAAAGTGCTCGCCGCCTGGCAAGGCATTCAGGCACTTCAAGTTTGCAGCAGCGCAAGGCGCACGTGCGGTTGTGCAAGCCAGGGCGCTGCTGAGGGCAGCGCCATAGCCCTGCTTCCATAGCTGGCTGAGCTTGGGTGTACAGCACGGTGTAGTGGTGGTCTTCGTGTACGAGGGAGAAGTCATGGGTGGGAGACAAGGGGGAGAGAGAGAGAGAGAGAGAGAGAGAGAGAGAGAGAGATGAGGATGATGACGTGAGGGCACATACCTGGTCTTGGCGATGGTCTGCAAGGGTCGACATCTTCATGTCCTTCAGTGCTGCTGATGACGTCAACAGTTGCATGGTCAATTCGTAGGCTCGAACTAGCTGCGTGATAGTAGTCTGCGCGCTGAGCGCCAAGTAGGGGAAAGGCTCCGGATACTTATGCTGATGATGGCGACAGTGTGCTCTCATTGACACTCGGACTCAGTGTTTTGGTTCTCCATTGGTGTAATATCGGTGCAATTCTGCTTTCTGGCTCATTTTCCTTGCCGCCACTTCAAGATTCTGAAATTTTATTTTTCTCGGGAAATCTCACTTTTTGCAGTTAAGTTTCGGGAATCCTCCCAAAATTGATTTTTTTCGCATACTCTCATCTGAATTATTCCGGGTTGTAATTTTTTGAATTCAGAATTAATGGAATGTGCGAAATTATGTTTTGCAAGTTCCATTATCAATTCTTTGTTAGCATTAATCATTTGCAGTCCGAAACTCAGAATTCTTTATTTTTTATTATTTCGGATTTCTGGGGCTTGGGAGACCTAGCGAACTTGCAATTTCGAATATTTTTTTAATTATTTTCTCGAAACTAGTATTAATTACACAAAGTTCGACCTCTTCATTTTTTATTAGTGGCTCCTTATCTGGGCGATCATTCCCACCCACCCCATCTATGCTGCTGCATCCCTCTTCTACTCTTCTCCATCTGTCTTCTGGTTCTCCCTTCTGCGGCATTGGTAAGTTGCCACGTCAGCAGGTAATGTAAGCAGTGACACGTCAGCCGATAGTTGTGCCATGTTAGTAGCCGAACAGTGCCACGTCAGCAGCAGAGAGTGCCACATCAGCAGTCCCGCAGCCCATGCCTGTGAGCACATGTTCACTAACAAGTGCCATGGAGCAGATGGCAGGGGAAACAGTCGAGGCCTACACGGTACGGATGCTGAATATCATGGCCGAAGCCAAGCAAAGGGCAGACGCAGCAACAGCCACACAGAAGAAAAAGGAGGAGGAAGCAGAGAATCAACGTCCGCTTGCAGAGGAACAGCGCCAACAGCACGACGGAGCAGCAGCAAACACTGCTGATGAGGAACACAGACAACGGCACGAGAAGGTATTCAAGGAGGAGAGAGCACTACTCACGCTGGCTGTGGAATGGCGGAAGGAGGCAGAAACCGGCGAAGACAGCAACAGCGGACTCAAGATCTCGCTGTTGCTCTCCCGTCTTACGGACCTCCTGGCTACTTGCATTGCACAGCAGGAGGATATCCACTGCCTCGACGAGGTCCTCGACGGCCACAAGAAGCCGTCCGCACAGTTGACCAGCCGCGTACAGCTGCTGGAACAACGACCCATCGCCGCTTCAAGCGCCGGCTCCTCCAACTACGCCGATCGGCTCGACGTTTTGGAGATCGACATCGGGACTCTCAAGACCGGTGTGCAACAACAGCAAGCACCAACTCAACAACTTGAGCAGGAGATTTGCGCCGCAGCTGCCGGTCCTACCTCGTGACCACACGAGAGCATCCCGAAGTTCGATGGCCAGCCGATCTTCTGTGACGTAACGAAGACGGAACCAATTCCTTGGCGTCGCCAGTTTGAACTCAAGTTGAAGATCCACGAGACCTGTGATACCAGCCAGCACGCATATTTATATTCCCGATCGGCGGGGGCATGCCAAGCTTGGCTGCACAATATGCTGTCCACGCACGGGGTCACGGTAAGATCGATCAGGTGGGCTGATCTGAAGGCAGCATGGCACAAGCGGTTCCAAGTGGAGCCACCCGAACTTCAAGCAATGGACAAATTGCAGAAGTTCCATCAGAACACTTTGCCAAGCGGATATTGGATAGCCGCATACCAATGCTTGGCATCCACGCCGGAGTTGCCGATGGTCTTCAAAGGCATCAAACACTACTTCATCACGAGGTCATGTCCGACATTGTCAAATGCTTTGACACAAGTCACGGAGACTCTCACCACAAGTGCGGAGCTCTTCGACAAGGCCGCGCAGATCATTGTGACGAACATAGAAGCCATAAATCTTCGCTGTTTGCCTTCTAAGGGCCCGAGCAGAGATCAGCATCGGCCGAAAGTGGCAGTGGTCGCGGCAGCAACGCCAACCAACCCTTCAAGAGAGGCTGCTTCTGCTGCTGAGGGAGACAGATTCGCAGCCACCCGAGATGGTGGCCGCCCAGCCAAAGGCCGGGGATGCGACAGATCAAAGACCAACACCTCTTCAAGCCCCGGGCCCGGCGCAGCTGCTTTTGCACCTTGGAACCACTACGGTCTCTCGAAAAGCGTATACAAGATATACACGAGATTCTGATATTGTTTGCGTTGCAACAGTGACCTCCACGAGATAGTTGCATGTTCCACCAAGGCCAAGAGGAAAACCCAGTTGGGAAAGTGAGCACCGCCGAGAGTGATGCGATGGCACTCTCGACGCCTTCGAAACTGGTTGTTGTGCGGGCGACCTCCCTTAGTTCCGAAGCACACAAGGAAGTCGAAGGTCCTCCCATTCTCTATTCTTATGAGGACTATGCTGCCCGTCTCGTTCCTTCGCTGGGCACTCATGCTCAAGGACAAGATGTGTGCGTGGTTACTTCTTCGTCCGGAAGCGGCGACGGTTTATCGTCTTCAAGTGTTTTTTCACGGATTCGGCGCGCGAGTTCAACATAGAGGTCTTGGACCCGCTAACGTCCAAGGACTTCACATGGCTTCTTCTCCCTACCACAGGCCGCTTGTTGGGACCACAATGCACAACACTATGCGCTCATCTCCACACATACTTATCCTTCTATGCACCACCAACTTCGCCAACGGATGACGAAGCTGCGGTGGGGGACATCCTTGTGTATGTCACCAAGGTGGCCAGCGAGTTTCGCACGCAGCGGTACGACGCCAACAACGCACCGCTCCTTTACGTCCGCATCAAAGTTGGGCAAGTATCCTGCAATGCTTTGCTGGATACCGGCGTGACTCGCAATTTTAAGAGCTAGTCCTTTATTCAAAGGCTCGGCCTTGGCGCACAAGTTCGAAGGAAGGCAAATCCTACAGCGGTCAAGTTGGTGAACGGTCGGACGCAACAACTCATTGACCGCTACATCGAGGCAGTACCGGTTTATTTCACACCTCATGCATTCGAACCGGTGATGTTCGACGTCTTGGACACGGACTTCGACATCATTTTGGGGAAGATTTGGATTGCAAGTGCGGATCACACGGTCAACTTCCATTGGCGCACACTTACCGTTTGCGGCGCCTTTGGCGCCGAGGTGTCGTCTACTCTTCCTCTTCCGCACCCTTTGATCTGGTACCAAGTTGTTACGGCCAAGTCTTTTAGGGCCACTTGTGCTTACGAGTAGACCGATGAGATCGGCATATGTTTCCTTTGAATCGTTGTGGTACCAGACGCTTCACCCGCAGATTTGTCTCCATACCTCCATATGGTGCGGTTGCTTGACGAGTTCGCCGACATCTTCGAGTCTCCTACTGGTGTGGTGCTGGATCGGCCGATCTCCCACGAGATCATTCTTAAGGCCGGTGCCGTGTCGCCGAAAGGTTGCATCTATCGCATGAGCGAGGAGGAGCTCGAGGTTCTCCACGCGCAACTCGATGATTTGTTGGAGAAGGGTTGGATCCGCCCTAGTAGCTCACCGTATGGTGCGCATGGAAGAAGAACAAGGATCTACGATTGTGCATCGACTAGCGCAAGCTCAGCGCGCAAACCATCAAGGGTGTGGGGCCTCTTCCTCATATCGACGATCTTCTTGAGCGGTTGGGTGGCGCAAAGTTCTTCTCAAAGTTGGATTTGAAGTCGCGCTATCATCAGATTTCGATACGCCCGCACTATCGCTACAAACCCGCGCTCAAAACGCGGTACAAATATTTTGAGTGGGTGGCCATACCTTTTGGCCTCACCAATGCCCCGACGACCTTTCAAGCAGCGATGACCAACGAGTTTTGCACGATGTTGGACCAGTTTGTGCTGGTCTACTTAGACGGCATTCTCGTCTATAGTCGGACCTTGGAGGACCATCTTGAGCACCTTCGATGCGTGTTGGAGACGCTCCGTCGCGCCAAGTACAAAGCCAACCGTGACAAGTGTGAATTTGTCCGACAAGAGTTGGAGTACTTGGGCCATTTCATCACACCGGAGGGCATTAGTCCGTTATCGGACAAGATTCAAGTCGTCCAAGAGTGGTCGGAGCCGCGGAATGTTACGGATGTTCGTGCATTTCTTGGCCTTGCCGGCTACTATCAACGCTTTATCAAAAACTATTCGAAGATCGTGTCCAACTTGACCAAGCTTCAATGCGAGCATCGGCCGTTCGACTTCAGTAACGATGCGCGGGGTTCATTTTTGGCCCTCAAAGCCGCTTTGCTATCCGCGAAGGTCTTGCGCATCTACAACCCGCTTTTGCTGACGCACATCACTACCGATGCGCCCGGCTATGGCATTGGTACCGTCCTCGAGCAACACAATGGCGTGGATTGGCACCCCGTCAAGTATTTTTAGCAAGGAAGTGTCCGTCGCGCACTCGATCGACGACGCACGAAAGGAGTTGGTAGCCTTCGTACAAGCGCTTAAGCGGTGGCAGCAGTTTCTTCTTGGTTGAAATCAATTCTGATGGGTAACGGATAACAATCCATTGGTTTTCTACAAGACCCAAGACTCGGTCAATAGCACCATCGCTCGTTGGATGACTTTCATCGACCAATTTGACTTTTTCCCCGACCACATTCTGGGAAAATCAAACCGTTTTGCAAATGCTCTTTTACGGCGTCTGGACCATTGTACCGCAGTCTACTCGACTTTCGAGATTGATGACGACTTGCAGGACAGCTTCATCCGCGGCTACCAAGCCGACCCCAAGTTTCGCGACTTGCATGTGCGGCTTCTTGGCGAGTTGCACAATGCTCCCACCACCAGACATTTTGGAGTCAATCAAACGATTGACCGACTTCATGAGCGCTTTTGGTGGTCCGACCTTCTCGACGACGTCACACGCTATTGCGAGTTATGCGAGGTTTGCCGACGTTGCAAATCCCACAATCATCATTCGTACGGTGAGTTGCGATCATTACCGATCCCCTTGCGACAAAGGGAAGCGATTGCCATGGACATCACCGGGCCGTTCCCCAAGCACAAGACCAGTGTGGATGGAATTCTCACGGTGGTCGATCGACTCACCAAGTTCGCCATGTTTCTGCCTTGCTGCTATCACGCCAATGCACCGGAGTTGGTCGAGGTTCTTTACGCCAGTTGGATTCGAACCAAGGGTTACCCCAACGAGATTGTTTGTGACCACGACATCGAGTTTATGTCCGATTTTTGGTTGGCGCTCATCAAACGATGAGGCTCATCTCTCAAGTCGAGTCCGGCTCGCCACCCCAAACCGACGGCCAAACGGAGAGGGCGCATCAGACCGCATAGGTTCTCCTTCACACTCTCATCCATCCCGACCAAAATGATTGGGTTGAGCAGCTGCCAGATGTCGAGTTGGCATACAACTCGTCCATTTATCCGGCGATCGGGAGGTCACCCTTTGAGTTCGAGCATGGCTCGCTGGTCACTTTGCAGTTGGACACGATTATCCCATGGGCGGCCGAGAACGACGACCATCTTCTCTTCTTTCGTCGGATGCAAGACCGACTCGTCAAGGTACGCCACCGGATGTCCAAGACGCAGTAACGCATGAGCCAACAGGCCACTCGTCGGCGTCTTCCTTGTCCATTTCGCACCATCGACCTTGTATGGGTCTCCGCCGCGGAGTTCAGCCTCGAACAAGATATCTCTCGCAAGCTCCTTCTGAAATGGATGGGGCCCTGTCCCATCGTGGCACCCACTGGGGATGCACCTGAAGGACCTTCATTTGTCATTCAAGTGCCCGCCCACTTGCCCATCCACCCGGTCTTTCACTGTTCCAAGTTAGCTCCGTTCACTTCAGCGGAACACGACGACTTTCCCGGGCAACGATTGCAAGACCCACCCTCTATGGACAATTTTTAAGAGGCTGGCGACATCATCTCCAAGCGACGCTACGGCAACAGGCCGACAGAGTACTTACTACATTTCTCCTACTGCAGCCATAACGCTGACTGTTGGTTGACCCGTGCGGAACTTCAGGCAACAGCCCCCGACATTCTCACACGCTACGAGCGCAAGTTGCAAGGCAAGCCGGTACCTTCGGCTCCACACCATACTCGCGTCCAGGTTCCACCATCAGATCGTCAGCTTTGCCCTCGACCCGGCTTGACTTCATAAGGAGGGGGGGGTGTTACATGCTGCGCCTACACACGGGCCCCATTACAGGGGGCCGACGGTTGCTGAGGGGCCCCCAGGCCGTGTGCCCATCAGACACGCGCCCTGGAGGCCCACGGCGGCCCTTGGGCTGCAGGTACGGCATTACGACATCATTTATTTGTTTATTTATTTGTTTGTTTATTGCTGTCCTATTTTTGTCTGTTCAGACGTCGTTTCGGACTTGCAGTCCCCAAGGCGATGCCTTGGGCTGGGTACACCAGGAGGCAGGGCCGATGGAGGCCAGGCGTGTTTTGGCGCCCTGCTGCATCAGCAGCATGGTCTGGATGCCCGGTAGGGGCCCCGACCGTGCGGGCCGTTTTCAGGCCAACACTGCAGCCCACCCAGCCGGCCCAGCGCTGCATATAGCTGGGCCTCGGCTGAGCAGACACACAGTTCGAGTAGCTCACTTCTTGGGCGACACGCTGCTGGACCAGCGCTGCACCACTTTAGTGCTGCGCTCGGAGGTAGAGGTAGAGGGGCAGGTAGGCAGAGGGGCGGAGGCCATACCTGCAGTGGCGGACTTACCTGGCGCCATAGCTGAGACTCCGCGCGCCGACCTGCACATGACGACGACGACACGGCAGTCAGTACAGGGCGACAGTTACCTGCAGGTGAGACAGCGAGGAGGACGACATCTTCTTCTTCTTCTTCCTACTTCTTCCTCCTCCTTTTTCTTATTCTTCTTCTTCTTCTTCAGAGAGAGAGAGAGAGAGAGAGAGAGAGAGAGAGAGAGAGAGAGAGGCAGAGGTTGCATCGGGCATATAGCCCAGGATCCAATCCGACATTTTTGTGGCAGACATTGATTGGTCATTCGGCAAGGCACTATTTTTGGATTTCGGTATCACGATCTTGGTCTTCTCCCTCGCCTCCGTCTTCGTCTTGCCTCTCCCCCCATCTCTCATCCGTGGTATTTCCCCCATGTGCGCGTGCAAGGAGGGACCTTTCTTCTGTGTATGCGGTCCCTGTTCCCTCTCTCACATGTGTGGCGTATGATGGGATGTTGTGTCAGTCTGACAGGTCAGGTCATATCGTTGAGTCTTCCACTGCGCTACATTTTCGTCTGTTTGCGGATCCTTGGCTCCATATACAGTGCCCAACTGGGCATGCATCAGGGAGAAAAGAACAACAAATGAGGGGCTGTGACAAACTGTTTCGTAGGATTTCACTGTCTCATCAGGACAATGAACCCTCAACAATCTGCAGAATCCCCTAACTGATTACACTGTAAGTGATAATCCACCTTAACCCCGGTTGTGGTTAAGCATCAATGACTGCCCGACAACTGATACCCTGAGGTGGGCACCAACCATGGCCCTCGAGGTACCTGTGACGAAAATCCAAGCAGACTATCACTCACCCACACCAGATGGAAAACTCTTACAGACTGTTGGTTCACAACTCATCACAAGCCAGCAAAACACGGACAAAAAAAAGAAAGGTCTATCACAACCAGAAAATACATTCCAGACACGCCGTTGACACTAGACGCACAGCACGGCCGCGTAGTGACGGCCCCGACCACAGACGCTCAACCTGACCGGAGAAAGCCTTAGCAGGGTGCTATCAAAGTCACTGTATCGTCAAACAGAACTGCCCGGTAAACCGTAGGCAGAGAGGGAGAAGAGGACAACAAACGAGGGCCTGTTATAAACTGTTTCGTTGGAGTTTCACCAACCCATCAGGAGGCTGAACCCTCAACAGTCTGCAGAATCTCCTAACTGATTACACTAAGTGATAATCCACCTTAACCCCGGTTGTGTTTTAGCATCAACGACTGCCTGACAACGGATACCCTGAGGTGGGCACCAACCACTGCCCTCAAGGTACCTGTGGCGAAAATCAAACCAGACCATCACCCACCCACAGTGAGAGGAGGAAGGAAAACCTCCTTCGCTGGACCAATCTTCAGTCTTTGAGGACATAGCAATGGAACCAATCATCCTTACTGTTGTAAAATCCGCAGTCCGGTAATGCAGGTTGTGCAGCCCGAACAGATAAAAGGGACTTGTGTTCCCAAGTTAAAAAATCACAACACAAATGATGTAGCAGCAAGACGTAATGCCATAAGTTAGACATGGAAGAAAGTCACTCCAACTTTGAGTCAAACAACTTCCATGCAAGTGCTGTCAGAAAGAATGACATGCAGGAAATGTACAAGACCTCTCAGCATGCTGCCCCCCGCAGGAGAAATCCAGGCACCTGTTCTATTCTTGAGGGTGCTGCAACCTCTGCCATACCTCCTCATCAATTGGAAGGTGATCCTGGGCCTACTACCTAACCTTACTGAACCTCTCCTGATTTCATTTTTCCTTGCAGCAGCTAGATTCAACACCATTGCAGCTAATTCAAAACCATTACTTGATTGCAATCGGCAACCCCCCTCCGGCCCCTCCGGCCCCTCCGGCTCTCTCCCTTTTTGGATCTACGCCTTCATAGCTTCAGAAAGCACAAGTCCCATTTTTCACTTCTGCAGTTCTGCCCATCGTTCTTCTTCCCTTAGGCTTCTCCTGCGCTCTTGTGTCTGTTTTTGTCTGCGTGTTGCATCACCCTTGTCGCAACTAAATTCAACACCAGTACGTTCTCCTAGGCCTTCTCCAGTTCTTCCTGCTGTTCAAATTGACAGACAGGGAGATAGTATCTGTCCAGCTGCCAATTCCGCTGCACCACATCTTTCCAAACCTTCTCCTTGCACCGAACCTTACTGAACCTTTCCTCAACCTTTCCTGACGTCATTTTCCCTTGTCGGAACTAAATTCAACACCATTACAGCTAATTCAACACCACTAGTTGATGGATTCTACGGTAGAAGTTGTGCTCCTCTTTTTTCTTCCCTAATTCTTCTCCAGCACACATGTTTTTGTATCCCTGTGCATGGCACTTCGCCCAACGTGTTCCTCAGTTTTCTCCTATGCCTCCTCCTCCTCCTCCTCCTCCTCCTCCTGCTGTTCAAATTGACAGACAGGGAGATAGTATGTGTCAAGTTGCCAATATCGCCTCGCCACATCTTTCCAAACGTCCTCCTTTTGCTGTGCACCATTTGTTTCACCTGCAGACGGCAATATGGATCCTATGATGCTCCCCACTGGTAGTGGGATGAACTGGACCGAAAGCCCCATACGGGCCATCTCAAGTTCAACAACATGGCAGCATACTGCATGAAAGAAAGCATTATCTGCTGCAAGCCCATTGAAGAAGGAATAGATTCCATTTGGTTTCAAAAGCTTTAGGACCAGATTATGGAACTCGCGCATGTCTTCGTAGTCCTCACCATACGTGTCAAAGAAGATTCCGTCAAACTGCTTCTGACCCGCGAGAGGGGTGAGTACCTCCTGCCACCGGCCAAACAGAATTTCGACTCCAGGCCGGGTTGACCAACCAGCTTTCAGCATTTTCTCATGCACCATCGGATGTGCTTCCACAATGATATGTGACTTAGGTGACCGCCGTTGTATGGCCTCATCCACAATTCCCATCCCAAAGCCCACATTCAAAATGTCTCCTCCTTGCGAACAGAAAGCCTGCAGAAGAAGTTTCCAAGTCACATACTAAATTAGCAAAATGTAGCACCACAGTGAGAGGAAAGAATATGGATAGCACGAGGAAGACAACTGCAAAGACACGACAGGTGAACTATTCAAGACATCCATACAACAACAGCAGTGTTATGACAGCACAACTTAATATCTAGATTGCTGGATGTTGGTGGACAAAAACACAGCTGCAGAAGGAAGCACATTATAGGCATTATATTCACTTCAGTTTTCTTGTCTTCCTTTCTTTTCTGGACAGGGCCTTGGGGTCCTGGATGCATTCCATTCTGGGGAGCATCAGTCCGGTTACTTTTTCACCGGAAGTCGTTCAGTACACTCACTTGCAGGTAACCAAAAAAGTATTCCTTCCATTGAGGTTGAAGGACCCCTTCTACAGCATTGATTGCCCCTAATAGGAGGATTAACTGCCAGGAGGCTTTTGCATCATTCCCTTCATAATGTCCCTCTCATGCTACTTGGAGTAGACTGTCAGATCAGCATTTAACCGTGGACGGTAAGAAAGTGAAATGGAGCAATCCTAGGGCCGAGCTTATTGCAACTAGAGGCCATATCCTCAGCCTAAGGAACAGAACCATTCACATCCAGATGGCGTTCTGGTCCCCTTGTTTTTTTTAAGTTTTTTTTTTCTTTTCCTTAATCGTTCTGGTTCCCTTGTTGCTGAGCTCCCATGACCAGGGTTGTTAAGCGGGGATCCCCGGGCCCCTAGCCGGAGGTTGAGGTTGACCCCCGAACCCCCGGCGCAGGGATCGTTGACCCCCCCACCCGGCAATCCATACCCGCCACTGGCCCAACCCAACGACTCCCGCTCCCGTCCCTTGACCACCGCGCATGCCCACCGCCGACAGCACCAGACACCCGTCCCTGCCACTGCACCCCCGGAGGCCAACCCCCACCACCCTACCACTCCTGACCCCTCATCCCCGGCCCCGCCCGGCACACCCGACACCGCGCGTCGACCCCCGCAACCCCCGAACACCACCCCAGCAGTGAACCCTGCACCCCCGCCAGCACCGCCGCCCGCCCACCACCACAGCGCGCCATGGATCCCTGCGTCCCCGCATGCATGGCCCGTCCCCGGGTCGCGGACCCCCAACCGCCGACTGCTTCCCAATCCCCGTATCCCCGCCGCCGCACCGCTCACTCCCGCCACCACACCATCACCTGCCGGTCCCCGATCCCCGCACCGTTGGTACCCCCGCTCCCCGCACCACCGGTCCCCGCAGTCGCGACCCCGCCCCCACCTCACGCAACCACGCTCGACCCACACACGACCCAAAGCCCCCCCCTTCGGACTTCTCTCTCTCTCTCTCTCTCTCTCTCTCTCTCTATCTCTATCTCTCTCTCTCTCTCTCTCTCTCTTGACTCCCCTCGGAAGGAGTGCGCACTGCCATGGAAAAAACAATAGACAATGAAAAGAAAAAAAAACAGGGCTG